TTATTAATACTAATAAAATCATGATCTATTTAGTTAATTAAAGAAGTACAAACTCATAATTCGTAGGTTTATGACTTGTTTCTATATCAAATCAGCTAAAAACGAATTCTACAAATGCGAAAATAAAATTCTTACGATTTTCTTTTGCAAATTGTGAGTTTTAAATAATAGTGACTATATTATTGATAATATTACGTCATTTTAAATACTTGTAATTTCCGAAATAAGTTTTATTTATATTATTTTTTCTCTTATTCTTTTCATAGTTCATAATACGATTTTTAATTTAAAATGGGGGTGCACCGTAAACCGACACACCCGTCCGTAAAACAGACCATGAGCTAACTTAATCTTTATAATGTTGCTTTATAGTGTCAAATAAGTCTATTGGAGCTGAAGGCAATCGTGCATATATGGAACAACTCTAGAAAAACTATCGCATTACATATTTGCAGCTTGCAGAACAGCATAAAGTAAATATGCATATAATTTAATAAAAATGTTTTATAACGAAGTAAAATGATTCTGAAAAATCTTATATACATTCACTTATAGGTACTTTATACAGATAATTCCTGTAAAAGAAAAGGAATAGGAATACGTAGTATTACTGCCTACTGTGTCAGTTTTCGAGCCCATTTTGTCACGCTTATTTTTGCATAACTTATGAAAAACTTAATTATTGCAAAATTGCTAACAGTATTATAAAAATTGCTTATACTATCTGATAGAAGACACTTTTTACTTTGTATTTGTTTTGGAAGTTGTATTTTTACCTTTTGTTTAAGAAATATTATCTAAAAACAAAGTGGTATGTCGGTATCGGTGACCTTCCTCTATGAAAAATATAACGAATAGATTATTTTATTTTTTTTGTAATATACGTTAATATTTCGACAGTTAGACAGTTGGTGCATGGTCTTAGCCTATATATGTACGTGTACACAAATTCTAAGGCCGCACAAAATACATAATCTTATCATTTAAATATAACTACATTACTGCAGCATTTTATACATTAAACAAGGTGTCATTAAAATTTTTATAACTTTTACATTTCTCAATATTTTTAAAATAAAATTTAAAACAGAGATTTATTATCATATCTGCTTGAAGATATTATACTCAATTTTAATTTTTATACATTCTTATAACATTTAAAAAATAGATATGAAGTGTGTGCAGTATAGATATTAATAAATTTTTATTTAACTTTGAGTTAATACAATCTTAACGTAACTTTAATTGAGTTAGTTTTTTATTTATTCAACTTTTAACTTAACTAAATTAATTTTGTAAGCCATTAACTTTAACTTACTTTAGTTTAAAAAAACATTAATTTAGTTTAAAAAAACTTTAATTTACCGAACCCTGTTTATGTAGTATGCAATTCTCAAACAATATGATATATTGCACATTATGTCATTGCACATTGTATGTTAAAACGTCCCTACAGAAAAATATTGGACTCGCAAAAAGCTATGGAAACGAATAATGTACAATAATGTACTTGAATGGTTTTCCAATGATTTCCAATAGTTTTTTCGCGAGTCCAATAATATTTTCGGTAAGGGTGACCTCTATTAATCCTAGCTATACACAATGGGATCCCAGAAACCCCAGTGCAATTTGCTAAATCGAGTTTTTTTCGTGTTTCTGAACTTTTCTTTTTCTTTAAGTCTATATATCTCGAAGCTTCTTGATTCTATTAACTTTTACACATTATGGACTTGTTCCTTAATCAGTTCTCCATCGATTGAAAAAAAATTAATTGAAATATGTTTATTTTTACGGAAGTTACAATAATAAATATAAATAGGATCCCAGACACCCGAGTGTGTATATCAAAGGTAGAAAAAAATAATGTGTGGCTAAGGTTAATAGGCAGTTTTTTTTCCTGCGTGTTACATAATTGAATGTCAAATATGGCTTGTGCGCAGTTGTGTAAATTAAGATGCTGCAGGTGGGTGATGACAACTTACTAATTGTTATGTATGTTGATTAAGACTTTTCAATAACACACTTGTTTTTTCTTTAATATATTTCAGGTCATTTATTCCATAAAATAAAATTTAAGTTTAAAATACGCATATTATCAGTTTATTTAAAATATTTATAATTTATAAGTTTGTAACATTATTATATGAATATTATATTATTTATAACATTTAGGAAGAAGTGGGGGAACTGTGCGCACCTAAGGGAAATTTATTGCCCTAGAATGATTTTCCATGTTTAAAGCGATATAAGCATTGAAATAAAAACTATAAACATTCTTCTATCATTACGTATCTTCATATTGAACAGATATGCATTTAATAAGGTTATATTTGGCAAAAAGGAAAAAACGGAAAAGTGAAAAAATTTCTCGCACGGCGGGTAATTGTGCGTATGAGTTGGGTAATTATGCGCAAAGCAAAAGTCGTAGAAAATGAATGAATTATGGAATATTGAAAAATTGGAATATTGACAAATAAATAAAAAAATATATTTGTTATATTGCAATATAAATACATATTAAATACATTTTAAATATATATTATATATATTAAGCAAAAATACAACACTAATAATAATGCACATGAACTTTGGCAAAATGAAATGGAAAAATAAAATAATAATGCAAAGAAAAAACGAAAAAATTAGTGATAGCTATATAGTATATGGAAGATGTGTAATTATGCGAATTTCAAAACGCCTGCGCACAGTTGTCCGCTGCGACCTGACTCGATATGAAATACAATTACTTTAACACTTCCTAATCAAATTTAATAAATAACAGCTCAAAAGACGCACATAATAACGTACTTTAATAACGTATGCAACTTTAAACAAACAAATTAAAAATACGGATTTACCACCTTATTTTCTGAATGCTAAAATAACAAGAAGTGCAACTTTAAACAAACAAATTAAAAATACGGATTTACCACCTTATTTTTTGAATGCTAAAATAACAAGAAAACATATGGTTTCACTTTTTTGTATTTCTCTGGTTAGCAACGTATTTATTATCGTATCTTTTGTAGTTATATCTTAAGAGGACGACTTCCTGCGTAAAAATTTCACCACGGTGATGTCTTCATTTATTGGAAAAGTACAAAATCAGGATGCGCACAATTACCTGCTGCGTACAATTCCTCTATTTTCCCCTAATTTGGATGTTGTTAACATTTAAGTAAAATTCAAAAATAAAAATTATTCTAAGATGTTACACCGAAAAAAAATAATTTTAATATTAGCAGAAACCGCTAAATCTTAGAGGATTTTATTCTTATATACGGCCTCAAGAGGAATCTTCTGAAATCAAGAGGAAAATATGTTAAGCACAATATTCTTATAGTTAGAGTATTTTTGTTTTGCATCTGCATTAAAAATTTTGCTGTTCTTAATATGAATTTCCTCTTGTACACAGCTTAATATTCTTATAGTTAGAGTAATTTCGTCTTGCATCTGCAGTACGAATTTTACTGTTCTTAATATCAATTTCCTCTTGTATATAGATTATTTAATATTGTTTTAAGAGATATTATATATACTTTTGAGAAACTTTAATTAAAGAGTATTCACTTCAAAGATACTACAGGATTTGACGTCTATCGCCATGTTGTGATCCATTGTTAATGTCAATATTTCATGAACGGTAAGGTTCACGAAACGTTAGCATTAGCAATGGATCACGATATAACGACGATAACTCGCAAACTCTTTGGCATCTTTGAAGATGTCATCTTTACTGCATTTTTTTTCCAAATAAAAATACCTGCATCATATCGATAACAAGCAATGCGTGGTAAATAGTACTTACGCTCAAATGTGGGCCAGTACATCTCTAAGCTGATCGTTTCTAAGAATTCTTCAACTTCACTCATTATGAAACAACTCAAATTATAAATGATGTAACACAATACAACATGATGTAACACGATGACCGATGTATATTGTATACTATAATACGCGCCAAACGGCCAAAAAGCAGCGACAGGCAGCGACACACATATTGCTTTTTATGTTACTCGTAAGAGGCTAAGAGTAAACGTATTCTTCTTAATACAAGAGGAAAACTGTTAGAATAATCTCCAATACATTTTTGATGAATAGTCCAGTGCATTGGAAGAGGAATACTCTTTCTGTAAAAGTTTCTGCTTAGAATATGAGGTTACCGGAAATTTCACTTTACAATTAGATTACACCGAACAAATTGTATTCTTAATTTAAGAATATCCCACTTACGTATAGTATGTTTCTCTAAAATAAACGCTGAGACGATTCTCTTAATTTAAGAGGGTAATCATATAAAAATTAGTATATTCTTAATATGAGAATGTACAGGATGTCCTATTTTAAACGATGATCTCAAATATCTCTTGAACAATACATTTTAGAGAAAAATGCTTCAGACAAAAGTTGCATGGTTTTAAAGGGGACATCATTAAATTCACCGTGTGAAGCGCGCGTGTAGCGCACGTATGGCGACGATCGCTTTCGCAAATCGAGAATATATTATTAATTTAAGAGGAAATATTCTTATATCTGTTAAGAGGAAATATTAAGTACATCTTTCAAGAATACAATTTTTTCGTTGTATCTTTTTTTGGGTGTACAATTAGATTTTTTTTGGGGTGTATTTATAAAAATTCAAATAATGTACATATTATAATTATTATATCTTGGTCTTGTATATTTATTTGCAATATAAATAAATCAAAATTAAAATAATATTTAATATTAATTGAAATATATTAAGCATACATTAACATTTCATTTTTCGATAAATAATGAAACAAAAAATAATACCGACACTGTCTCTACAATATGTGTACAAGCAATGAGATAATATATTTTTAATGAAGACAATTGAATACAAAAGGAAGAAGGAAGGCATGCAGTACCCATGCAAATTGTGAATAAACTAAAATGCTAATGTGTCTTGCAATTAACTGATAACGTGCTGTATATAAATTGTAGCTGCGTTCTATCGAGCTCGTTAGTAGTTTGAAGAAAGGTATCAATAAAGTTGCGCCTTTATCAAGAAAATTCCGAATTAAGAAAGAATAATGGCAGGAATCTACAATTTTCTGTATATACTCGTAATCACGATGTTTACTATCGTAACCGCAGCAGATTACTGCAACATGAAATCATGTAGCAAGAAAGGAGATCATACTATGTGCAAATACTCCGTAAGTAGCAATATCTCACATAACAATGTATTTTCTTAGGATATCCTAATTTGATCAGATTGATCCCATTCTGATCCAAAACATTAAATTGTCCATATGATTACCTTAGGATATTTGTCATTATCATTGTATTAATATAAAATGTCCCTAGGATATCATATTTTGGTCCGATAAAATTTTGATCACTTATATTGATAAATTGCATTTTTCAACTTTCGACATATATATGTTATATACATTTATGTATTTTACGTATATTATAGAGATATATCTTTGCAATTTAATTGTTAATTTTTTAATAATGTTTAAATATCCCACACAGCATACTGAAAACTATACCCTTTGTTTCGGGAAAAATTTAATCATATTTACCTTTATATATTATTAATTTGACAGTTGCAGCTATAGCTTATTTTCCCAGCAAACGAGAAATTATTGAAAAATGTTAAAAATTATTCATTGAAGTGATGTCGAATCAAGTTTTTGAATATTTTTAATTCTTTTCTATCCGTAATTCGCTTGAATCAGTAATTATGGATTGGTTATTTACTTTCCGTATCTCATCCAATGTGCATAGAAATGAAACATACGATCAATCCGGTTGAATCCGTAATTATATATTGGTAACTTACTTTTGGTATCTTACCCAATATTCAACGCAATGAACTAATTCGTTTGAATTTAACGCGCGGTATTGAAGAATTGTCTAACATGAGAGACCCACCAAGTGCTAGTTGTGATCTCGGCAAGTGATATCGTTGTAAAGCACGCACCGAGGTAATGTACATAAGTCCTTACCTCCCAAACAAAAACTCCGGTGTGATATACAGAGTGTGTAACATTGCGGATTCACGGCGACAAGGTAATTTTTGGAAAAGGTAATTTCTAGACTCTGGCCACAATGCAGGTTATATCTGGGAGTCATACTCTGTTGCCGTGAATCCATAATGTTGTATACTCTGGGTATAGTACTAGAACTCATTCGGGAAAAAATTCATATATCTGTGATTATTATCTTGGTGCATACTTTCCAACGATAAAACACTTTCTTGGATCGCAGATTACCATTTCATTTCTGAATCTATGTATAAATCTATACTAGAGTTTACATTATATTATACTTATCTAGATGTATAGAAACGGATTCAGTGTATTCAGTCTCTACAAAATTCAATAATTTTTCACGAATTATTCGAAAACTTGATTCATATGGATTTATCCAATCCAATCCGTTCTCGTTTGCTGGGTTGTTTTTTGTTGTACATAATTTATTTTTAAATAGGTATATGGGTTATTTATTAATTAACAAAGCGAAAAGAGTTTTTGGTATATTTTACAAAATCGATTCTATCGATTGTAAGTACTGTTTTAATGAAAATTTTCCATTTTACTAATTAAACTAACTATGTATAACTCTATTTAAAAAAAGTACTTTCAGAGACTCCATAAGTACACTGCAGAATATACGTACGCTATAGGCATACGTATACTACGGACGTCGCCAAGCAAACGGCATAGTACACAGTACCATCGAGAGATGGATTCGTTTTCCGTAAGGAGAAAATGACGCGGATCTCTATAAAGAGGTGTGTGCGAATGGAATTCGTCACTTACTCTTAGCTTGATCAGAGTGTGCTCATGGAGCCTGTGAAAATACTTTTCTTTAATAGAGCTATTTATGAATAACTTTATTTAACTAACTATGGTTAATTTTATGTGACGCATACTCATTTCCTGCATTTTGTATCATACCGAGACGCGGATATACCCTTGTAAAAAAATACTACTTCGCACTGCGCAGTAGCGCTCAGTATTTTTCTACAAGGATTTAACATCCTAAAAGACATTTTAGGACTGGATAAAGATGGGATGAAATTTGGTTATCCAGAAACATCCTAATGATATTTAAATGATGATGTCCTATGGATGTAGAATAAGCGGACATATAAAAATACTCAATTTATCCTAAATACCCCTAAGTTTCTTCAGGTACGTACTCTGGATGTTTGAAAATCCCTCGACATACATCTGTAGGATGCACCTAAGATCAAGTTTTGCTGTGTGGGATAATCATATATTCACAACTGATGTCTTGTATACTTACAGTTAACGCGCAATCAAGCTTTTTATATAATATCTTAAAAATATATCTTAAAGAGTATATTCAACATTTTTAATTTTTAAATTCAACTATTGAAACAAATAATGTGTGAGAGAGATACACAGGGTGTTAAGTATATTGCCACACTCAACAGAGCGATTCTTTGGTTTATTTCAAGTAAAAAAGCATATAAACATGTGTCCTAAACGGCTTAGTTTCTAAAATAAAAAAATTTAAACATGTAGTAATAATCTGTTTATTCGAAAGAAATACAGCTTGAACTATGGTCTGTTTTCTGTTCCTGCACTAGACTGTTCTAGAACTCTCTTTCTCGCTTTAAATAAATATCAAAAGTATATTTATCTCACTTTAAGTTCCAAAAGTGTACACTAGTTCAGCCACAAAAAACAGACCTTTAGTCAAAATTAAACTAGTCAAAAACAGAAAAATAAAAACAAGCTTCAGTTCTTTTGATGAAATAAAACAATTAAATGAATTATTGAAAATGTCCACCTTGCACCATGATACATCCATCGAGTCTTCTTCTCAAAGATTGACGTACACGCTCAAAGATACCAGGTTGTATTGCCTCGCATGAAGCAACTATTCAATTCCTCAAATCATTCTCATTCTCAATTGGGGTGGTATAAACCAGTGATTTCAATGCCCCCAAAGGAAATAATTGGGCATTTTCCCTTGTAGAAAAGTACTACTGAGCACTAGGAGTATTTTGGGGCACTACTGTACTACAGCGTTACACTACACTATAGTAGTAGTGCAGAAGTGTTCAGTAATGCTGAGTAGTGCTAAGATCTTCTATATATCCGCGTTGCGGCAAGATACAAACTTGGCACTACAGTAGTTGAGTAGTGTAGTAGTGCTGTAGTACAGTAGTGCCTCAAAATACTCCTAGTGCTCAGTAGTACTTTTCTACAAGGGTAATGAAAATCCAAATTAAGAAACAAAGAATAGAAATAAAAAAGTAATATATAATAAAAAATATACAATAAAAACCATTAATAAGAATTGAAGTTGTGCGATGTACAAACATAAAAAATATATATATTTAATTTAATAGCAACTAAATTAAAAGAGAATAAATACCTTATGAATATGTGTCAATATAAAATATAAAAATCGTATATTTTAAGACAATACGATGAGAGTGAAAATAGACTCATATCTCCCAGATGTTCAGAGACAATATAAATTCGACATTCTAAGCAAGAAGGTTGATGTGGTAAACCAGAAAAGAAGGGGAACATAAGAGGGGGAAAAATGAAGTAGAGGGAAGAGAAAAAGGGAGAGAGGAAGTAAAAAGAGAAAGAATGTAAGTTGAGAGAGAGAGAGAGAGAGAGAGAGAGAGAGAGAGAGAGATTGTATAATCTGTAAATATGATTCAGGTACCGATTCAGTCTCATTTTGTTTATTAAGACCTTGTTTTCTGTCTTTTGATATGGATCATTTCAGATACTAATCTTTTATTGTATGAAGATTCGCAATCTAAGATTTTCACTTCGTTCCATCTAAAATTATGGTCAAAATTAATACGATGATCAGTTATGACAGTAGGAGAACCCGTATTTTTCCTAATATCAGAGATATGTTCGTGCAATCTCGTACTTATTTTTCTTTTCGTTTGACCAACATAGCTCGCCTCGCAATCGTCACAAGAAATCTTATATACTACGTTCTGATTAGATAGGAGGTCTAACTTGTCATTTCCTCTCTTAATCAGACTTTTTAGTGTGTTAGGGATAGAAAAGCTAGTTTACAATAAAACATATTGAAAATAGGAAGGAAACTTTCGAAAATAGATTTGACGTAAGGAATTGTAAAATATTTATCTTTAACTTGAACATTACGTGTAATATTTTTATTATGTATATGGATCTTTGTTCAATTATAGAGAAGATAAATGAAAGAGAGGATAACAATTATTTAAGAAAATACGAATAGCATCTATCAAATTATTTTATGGAAACTTGGATGTGATAAGAGGATAATTTTGTCAATAAAGCTAATAATTGTGTCTTTTTTATGGCAGAGAGGATGATTTGAATGAAAATTAAGGAACCTTCCTGAAAACGTTTTTTTATGATAAGTGTCAAATATAATTCTATGATCATCAATGTGTGATAAGCATTGTGTCAAGAAAACTCAATCTGCCATTTGTACCAACCTCTACAGTAAACAATCTCGAATGTAAAAAATTAAAAATATTCAAAGCTTCTTGCTTCATAGTATCTTGCTTGGATAGTATCAGATGGGAGCGCAAAAATGACATCATCAATATATTTAAAATAAACAAAGATTGTACTGGTAATTTATTAATTGCTATTTCCTCCAGATCTTGCACTACAATGTCGGCAATTATCGGTGATAACGGTGAACCAATTGGAGTACTGAATACTTGTTTATAAGTTTTTTATTAAAAGCAAAAAAGGTTGAATCCAAAATATATCTAACTGCAATAATAAATTCGTGTTTTGAAATGTTAATCTTCGTTGAAATGTAAACCCATCTCCTATTGATACTATTTAATGCTAGATCAACTATTTAATGCTAGATCATAGGAATATTAAAAGGGATACTACGTCTAACGAAGGCAATACATATTTAAAATCAAAACGTGTTCCATTTAATATATTAACCATTTAATATATTAAAAAAAAAATGGAAACTGTCTTTTATGTGGCTGGAAGTCTGTGATATGTTATTATTAATTATATTGTGTAAGAAGAGAGAAAGATAATATAGAGGACTGTTAATAGAGGATACAATTACTCTCAATGGATTGCCGTCCTTATGTATTTTAGTAAGCCCTAGGAATGACGCTATCCGTTGTATATAATCTTTGATGTTTGTTCGTCAATAAAACGATCGAGCTTCCACCTTA